TTACTGTATGCCGCGGGCATACCAGGGTTCAGTGTTGCGGGCAACGACGCGCTGATAAGCTGGCTTAACCTTGGTCCCGTGGGGGCAATAGGCGAATATCCAAGTGGGCCACTGGTTGCTGTCCTCGTGAATGTAAACTCTGGAGTTTGGGCGCTGCCGCTCTGCCATCTCTGCGATTGTGGGACATCGGGGCTGACAACATCATATCCTTCGGAGCGGGTATACTCTGTCTGGTAAGGGGAGTATGGAGAGAGCGATGAGGGGTCTTGGTACGGGCCCGAGGAGTAGGGTGAGCCGACGTAGCCGGTATGACTGGACAGGTCGACTGGGTAGGCCTCGTCGTCGTCTTCGTTGAACCGTGAAATGCGGGCCTTTGACATTATGTTTATGGAGGCTTATTATTATTAGGTTGTTGCTCTTTTCTTTGAGATTTCTTATTGATCGCTTCCTTCTTTCCTGCTATATTCCTCTTTTTGCTTCTATGACGCAAGCAGGGTAGGTATGTTGTAGATATTGTTTATTTGCAGTGCCCCCGATGAGCTACAACGATGGTGGTTCGAACCGAACTGTACCCAGCCGCCGGCGCAGTCGAGTTAAAGATCCCCGTACACCACAGCAAAACCAAAGAGATTTTTGTTTATGCCTCAACTTGGCGAATTTATTTCTATCGGTATCGCAAACGAAGTTGAGGATAGTAATATGTTTTAACAGTGTCTCAATGTGTCAATTATGCGATACACATACCCCCACACCGTTGAGTGCGGGCGAGAGGTCCGTCGAGATATATCTGAGATTCGCGGAGGTTGATCCGCAATGCAGCACCAAGCACGACACACTGCTGCTGCTACTACTACTGCTGCTGCTACTACTGCTGCTGCTGCTACTACTACTGCTGCTGCTCGTAAAGCGAAAGGTTGAGAGTGACAACGTTAACCGATAACAATCCCACTACTAGCGGCGGCGGGACAAGTGGTTGCCTTGGTGGTGGGGGTCCGGGCTGAATGCTTAAATTCGTGATAAGCGCCAGTATGATTGCAGGTTAGCAGAAGATGGAGAAGAGGAGAAAGGGAAGAGGTAGGAGGGAGGAGAGAGATGGAGAGATGGAGGGCGGGAGGGAGGGAACGAAAGATTGGTAGCAGGAGAAATTGGTAGGCAGGTGTTCCAAAGATGGATGGATGTACCAAGTAGACGATAGGAACCCAGTTACTGACATCCCCCTCCCTCCTACCCCCTTCCTTTCACATTAGATTGTAGCTACATGAATAATGTTTTGGCTGTAGCTGCCGTTCTTTCCTGCTTCTTTTCCTCTTGGGGACTCAGCCGCACAAGAACAGCGGCAATCATGCTGCCATCCCAACGGATTTTGCCGTGTCGACTTCGCTCAACTCTACGGATTCTCCATCTCTCACGATAGCACTCTGGTCTACAAACGCTCGCCAGAGCACCAGATCATGCATTCGAGTACCTAGCGTTCCCGCGGAATCCAGTCAAATGTCCATGTTTTTCCGCGTTTCCAGGAACCACACATCACGTCTCTGAACCCTGCTTGCAACCACCCCTGAATGTTGCTATTTTCAGTCCGCGACCGCCAAGTCCAGTTGATTCAGCCTCAGTCTTTAATCTATCTATTAACGTTTGGTGGCTGAACGGAATGTTGATTCTTCTCTGTTCACTAATCGATGGTAGAACAGAGTAAGTACCGATACATACTTCTATGTATGTATGTATGTAAAACCCATCTTGTCCCTGGAGTACTCCCCGGAAACCATCCTCACCTCCACTCTCATCTGCCCTCATGGACATGCGTGCAAGTGTACCTACTCTAATTCCCGCAGCACAAACTCGTTCGTGAGTATGTGTAACAATGATAGGTATCAAATCCACGTGGATAAAGGACCAAAACCCCTCCCGATCCTGTGTTCGGGGAATTTAAGCCGCCCACCAACCAAGATCTCGTCGAGGATCGAAGCTAGAGAGGAACGACGTTGATGTTGAGTTGAGCTTCTGAACGCACATCTTCACGAATCATGAAGCACCTCGCTAATTTTTTCCACATGAAGCGGACCCGATAATGTACCGGGTGTTGACGGTAAATACGAAGAATCTGATAAGAGAATCTTGCTGTGAAATAGGTGTGTTTATCTTATCAGATTCTCGGTATTTAATGTTAACCCCCGGTACAAGCGCCCTAGGGCTGATAATAACGACCCGAACGAGAGGGTACACTAGTATGCACTAAGTAATGTATGAAGTTATCACTGGACCAAAAAAGGCTATGATGGGGGCACCCACATGTACGCCTATGGAGAGATTCTTGTTTATGTGTGTCAACGTGTGACAGATATCATGTGTGACGTTACATGTCATCGCATTTCGCCAAGTTCACACTGAATCACTCGACATAAGCCAGCGGGCTTGGCTCGACCTTGGATTGGACACAGCCTCTTGATTGGATGATCGATGGCGGAGCGAAATCTTGCTGGCGGTGAGGCCAGTAGGTACACGCATCTGGACGATTTTATGATCGTGATTTATGATGCAGTACTTAGATGGGGCTAGAAAATTCCTCTCCACCGATATTGTGGTGACAGTGTATTTCTCTTGACCAGCAACTGCACCATCACAATCAGACCAGACATATTATGTAGTCGGGTACGTCTACGTAGAACACCTATAAATTCTTAAAAGAAACACGGGAACTTAGATTACTTGGCACTAATCAAGAAGTCTTTAATTGGATTAGGTATTTAGAGCTGCATGCCACGGTGGACACTCCAATCAAAAAAGTCGATGATAAATAAAAACGAGATTATTCGGAAGGGGGAAAGCCTAGATCAGAGAGTTTGTTTCGAAATCAAGATAAATTCTGTAACGGCATTTTTGTGTCGTTGTTGAGAAACTGGTCGTCGCGGCATATGGACGATCTGACACGACTGCCTAGAATAGAGAGTAAAAGCACATCTCTGCAATGTCAGCGGTTAGTTCCGTTCTCGGGCGGCTGTAAGCTGGTACCACTTGTAGATACAAGTTCGTCCTATGACTTTACATGTAGGGGTCTGGTACCTTCTCTACATACTCTAAATAGCTCCCCCTAAGAGGTTATTTAGTGCATGAACGACTGAATGATGCGAGTGGTTGTGCCGTATGCGTGGCTGACTTGCCTGGTTCGTTGGCTATATACATGTAGGTTATGGTTGACTTGCAGCTTATTTGTGTAACGACGCAGTGTACAACGGTTTGTCTCCAATACGTTATTTTCGCGGGGGAACGGTCAGGCAGTAACATGCATCTTGGAATCAAAAAACTGGTCATCGCCGTAAAAAAAAAAAAAAAAAAAAAAAAAAAAAAAAAGGAAAGAAAAATGTCGTGCCCCGAAGTTTTTCTCGGTTTCCCACGCTGGGGATCTGGGGACCTGGAAATAAACAGAGGACGAAGGCCAAATAAAATTAATGCACACAGTGTAGGTTAGGTATGGTTTGTCGAGCAGGAGGAGCATGTGGGTGTGGATGGGGTAAACAAACATGTTCTAGGTTACAAAGCTACGTAGGTATATATATAGAAACATCTCATAAACATTATTCTAGAAATATAATCCTCTAGAGTAGCTCTTTACGGAGCCTCAATGTACCCCCAGTTAGCAGGGATGGGCGCGAGAGCTGCTCCATCACCGCATAACCGCACATTAGTGTGTACATCCTCCCATGGTATGAAACCCCAAAAGGATTGATCATTGCTGCTCGTTTAGATACGTTTTCATGAATTTCTGCTTTCTTACGGTTATTTTGGCGTGGGAAGTTAATTTAGTAGAGTGTTGTGTTAGGGGTTTTCAGGTCAAAGTGTTCAATTGCCTCAAGAGTCAAACCCATAACCTTGCGTGTACTCTCATACCCTCTTTGTATCAACCGTGTAGCAACTCCATGTAATTGTGTATACGAGGCATACACTGTGACTAAATCTTTTTTTAAAAGCCTTTCCTCTATACTTCACAATAAACCATGATACCAATAAACCAAATGGCGAGCGAAGCATAGAATATCACTCGATATGTAAGAATCCAATGACAACTTTCATTTCTTTGCATTGTTTTAAACGCATATTTCAGTTCCCATGATTCAACACCATATCAAGAGATTACAAATAACAATTCTTCCGAAAAAACATTTTATCTCTTATCTATTGATATACCCTGACTCGCTCCTACTCCCATCGGCGGAACTATAAAACCCTCCCCCCGCCGCATTATTATCCGGCATCCTAGTCTCCCGTGTTTTCCTTAAGATATAGTTCCCTCTTTTCGGATGATATATATTCCATTCATACACAGTATTACTGTAAATGCAATTGCCCTCTTTTTCGTTGGTTGATTCTTTATAACGCATGCGCAGGTGTCGTCGAATGTAGAGTGAAACTCCAAGTAAAAACGAAATAATGCCAAAGAGGATAAGTAAGGCGGTTTTAATCATATCGAGAAACGCACATCCGGGCAGAGGGGTAGCCATAGTTGTAAGGCGGTTTGTTTAGAGATGAGGGGTGGTTTGCGGTTTATATGCGCGGTTCGCTGGCTTCGTCTTCAGATGGAGAGAAAACCCAAGGAGACAATCATTGACATAAAATCGGTGATAAGTATAAGGTTTTCTGTGAATATTGCTTGATGTGTAGAAATTGCGGCTACGGACATCTTCCGAAACACCCGATGGTTTAAGTATATTTTTCTCATCCTGCGTATCTTGATGTGCCGTTCTATAAGTTGTGTTTTAATGCCTGAAAGCTTTTGTTAGAAAATCGGCGAGGTAAGCTCTGGGTATGGATTACAGTACTTATTGTTTCCTTTCACTAACCTGCGGCTAGGCGCATATATTGAAACCCGTTAGATGAGCTTCTGTACGTTTAGCTTCCTCTCAGTCAATCAGCACTATATCACCACAAAGCTCAACCCTACAGGCTTTACACTCACTTAACAGTTGATTTTGAATCACACATACCCCACAGAGGGGAGGAAACTAAAATTTCCTGCACCCCTCTTTACTTGCTCCGCATCCACTATTGGCCTCCTTGAATCGGTCCACTAATATCAGAGTCCTCAGGCCACGGCAATTGCACAAATGCTTTGTTTCAGCCCTCTTGTTACCATTCAGCTTATTCACTAGCCTAAGCTGCCTAAGCCCCGTGCATGTTACCGTATCGCAGCCATTGTCACAGGCAGCTGAAGGGCCGATGCCAAGTGTCTTATCGGCAGCCATGATGTTTGTATCGCTGCCTTCTTCAATGCAGACGATTCTGTTCTTATGGGTGCACGTTTTGCGGATATCGTTGAGCGGCGGCGGTTTATTGAGGATGAAGTGGACGCGAGCTCGGTTCAGTTGTTCGGTGGTATTTCCCTCAGTGGGGATGAAGCCGTATTTGTAGTTCCCGTCGATTTCTGGGGTGGGAGAAAGCGTGGCCATCATAGATGATAGAATTGATGAGGTGATAGGATGTGTAAAGTGGATGAGGGATTGGGGATGTGGATGAAACAAGGAGAATCAATTGACGTGGATGAAGGTATGGATGTAGGTGTCAGTGTTTCGGGTCGTAGAGAAACGCCCTGACAGGGATGGGGGGCTGCGAACAGGCGGTGGTAGGTGCTTCTGTCGAGTGATGACGAATGAAGAATATTAAGGAAAACGCATGGTAGATGTCTACATGTATTCTTTGCGCTATCTCGAGGTGCTCCAAAACTCATTCTGCAAAGAATAGCTTTCCACTCGGCATTAATTATCTAGCTGCACTTTGTTGGGAACATAATTATATATTTACTGTGGCTTCGGACGTGTCCTGCTTTAACTCGGCGAATTCAATTTCTCCATTTTATACCTTGGGGTACTAGGAATAGGCAAAACCCCTCTGAAATATAAAATAGAAGACGGGAATATCTAGATCTATCAGCTATTGTTTGAATTTATATCGTAATATAGTATGGGCACTTGGGAGCCTAGAACCCGGGTGATTTTGCCGATTTAAGAACACTGAAGATGAACACTGGTGATTCAAGAATACCATGTGTCGCCTGATCTATTAAGCAGTACTCGTTGGTCGTCCCGACAGTTGGAAAGTATTAGAGTAGTATCCATGTAATTGTTACTACAAGGACGTGATGGGAAGGATCATGCATTATCACTCGTTAAGTAACCGGGGCCGTTTGTTAGAAATATTAATTGGTAATTCATTCGTGATTTGTTAGAAATACGGACGGGTGGGCTGGACAAAAGATATATGTATGTCGCTTTGTATATTCGACTATAGTACAAATAGGTGTCCTCATATACGTGAACCGATATAACTCTCGGTATGCCGGGCTGGTGTGGTCTACGAGACCGCTCGAGGCGAGGATGGAGAGTGGTACCGAGGCCGCTCGGTTTTGCTCAAAATTGGCCTTTCATGGTTTCAAGGTTCTGGGGATGTGGCCTGGAGACCGCCAAGTACTGGAAGTTTAGGCGATAATTCCGAGTTGATATCTAAAATTAGTGCGATGCCAACCTGATCGAGTCTATATTATACGCTCAAGCTTGGTGGACTCGAGGCACTTCAAAGCCTATCAGATTGGTGGTTTCGAGCTTCTTTGGCCTCGCAAGCTCTCGGTATGGTTCCGATCTCGGGGTCACGGTCTCAAATCAAAGCCCGCTCGGCCTCGTGGACCACACTTTATATGTATATACCAGACTATATAGTTGTTGACATTATCACCATAGTGACATGTATGGTGATTTATAGTGATAAACACACATCTGATCCTAGGCTTGGAACACAGGATGATCCAAAGAGAGCACAGACTGACATACAGGGAAGTAAGGAAAGATACCACATTACTATGGTACATAGTATCCTATTCCGACAGGGACAAGGATCAAGTAACGGAGGAGCTATGTAGGTTAAGTACAGTATGCAGGCCTCGTGCAATAACCTTTGTATATTATATATGATAGGATCGAAGATGGTTAAATGTAGAACAAATATTATTGGAATTCAAGTAACCGCTCTCAACAACGAAGCTATAAGTGCTCGTGCTAGATACTCTGCGATCTTTGTTCGTCTTGATTATGACAATGCAGGTTAAGCATATAACTGATATGAAAGCCAATAACTGTCTTATATGTGACAAACAAAGTGAAGTGTAAATCTAAACCCATTTAATTTATTTTCCCGTGGTCCGGGGGGTATTTATTAGCACCGCTGTAGAATAAAGTATGCCCACTGAATTACAAGGTTTTTTGATGCTGAAAATGTACATGATAAGTGACGTGATGACATTAGTCTAGTACTAAATCCATTGAAAGCAAATCCACCAGTAAGTCAGCAACCATAGCCGGCAACTTCGAAAGTTGAGGGTTCGATCATTAAAACCGTACAAGTAATACATACATGCGTTCTTATCACTGATGAGAAACCTTAGACACATGTTTCATGATAAGAGATCTCTAGGACTTAGAAACCTGCGTCCGCCCAAGATAAGATACTATAGAGGAGAACAACCCAGGCATGGCCTAGGTCTAAATCAATATTCTTGATACCCTGCGTGAGGCCACTCCCACGGATATGGGTGCAGGCCGGGTGGGTGTATAAAAAAGCCCTCACCAAGTTCCATATCTTCCTCATCTTCGTCAAACTCCTCCTCCCCATCTGTGTCATCCAACTCCTCATCTTCGTCACTGTCCCCAAAACCGAATGGATGCATTCCATTCATTGCCCAAAGTCCCACCTCACTGCTAGAATCATCATCCATATAAATTTCTTCAGATACGCAACAGCACTCGTCGTGACGCTGGTCTTCAGAAGGTTCCGTGTCGGAGAGGCCACTAAGGTAGTCCTGCCATAATTGGATGGTACAGCTGCGCATGCTTCTGGCCTTTTGGTGATGAAGTTGTTCGATCTTAAAGGAGTCCAGAGCCGAGGAAGTTTTAGGGGGGAAGTATCTAGCGATTTGACGGAGAACAATTGACCAAGGTCTTGGCGCAATAACCCCGTTGTCACTGGCAGGAGGTGACTCGTACGCAATCTCAGTTTGGTTATTATCGGACGAAGTAGGCGTTCGAATTTCGCAGTTGTCGAAGTGAATGGTGCGAAGGGTTTTTCTATGAGCAGAGAGAAATTGAAGAATGTGTGTCTCTAAAAATAAGACGTCGCGGAGCTTGAGGGATTTCAATTGTGGCCAGCACTGCTCTGTCGATATTGATTCCTTTTGGTCGGTAGATTTGTACTTAAAGGGAGATGCAAGAGTGCTGAACTGGATGCTTCCTATACTGTCCGGGATTTCTATTTCTAGAGATTCAAGAGAAATAGCGGATTGCATAAGACGGCCGAGTAACGGGATCCAACATGGGGAAAAAATTTCCGCGTGGTCCTGGCAATTTTGGATGCTGATAACAAGGGTTTTAATATTTTGAAATCCTAAAATCGCTTTTTGAAAAAAGTTGGGTGGCAGAAGCATGCATTCTTCTGTTACTCCCTTCAACACAAACTCCTCTATAGGTGATGTATTTGTTTGAATACGATTGTACATCGCCAATAAAATAGCGCGGAACACCGTGGGGCCCCAGGACTTGTTACCACTGCCCCCCGGCATGGACAATGCGTGAGATTGATCCGATAACCCGTACCATGCAGGAGAGGTCAAGTGAATCGATCTCAGAACTGGTAAAGAGGACAAACATTTGACATGTACGTCATGGAGATCGTTTGAAAGATCAAATTCACGCTGGTCAAGCCAACGCGCAATTTTAATCATTTGGGGGTCGGTGCTGGAGCTGATTGTCTCAAGCTTCTCGGCATATTCAGGGTCAGCCAAAAGACGAAGGTAGTCTTCATAGATGTTTCCTGTAGCACAATGTCAATTTGTAGAACATATACGGATATCTTTTTGTAGAACATACTGGAAGTTGATCTCTCCAAGGGATTGTTAGGGGCAAGAACATAAGAATACCGCTTAACCCAAGTTTGAATCTCCTTGCTTTCGGTGATACGCTCTAAACGTTTCAAACTACACTCCCTGCTTCCAATAGTGATGTTCTTGAAGAGGTGAGGAGTGATATGGGCAGAAAATTCTTTGTTGACTAGACGGAGGCTCGAGTATCCCTTGATGGCTTCGCGTTGCGGTATTATCGGATACAATCCGGGGCGCTTTATGAAGTTTGATGGGTGAAGGATCATGAGCATGATCTCGGGGGGTAAGGTATTCATCGACATGATGACCAAACAAGTTTAACTGCTTTCCCTCTCTTTTCTTGTTTCTATTCAAAGAAGAATACACAAACCCCCAAAGGCGTATCTCGGATTGGTTATCCTTGTAATCTTCGGGTTATTTGCCCACCTTCGTCTAGATATCGTCAGTACTACTATCAACTCATGACGTCGGAGACCGAATATGCTCTAACCTGTCAAACAATTGATTGCCTCTACTCAAACTTCAGAATTAAGGGAATGGTATAATTCCGATAGAGCTGCTGGGTGGTATGTACGGGCGCAATCTGAGTTATGGTGTTTGTGGGGCCTGGTGGGAGGAGGCAAGAGGCATCCCCCCGGCAGGTTTTGATGCACGTCGCGTCGACGCTAAGACCTCTTGGCAGATGTCACGTTACGAAATGAGTGTGACACACCTAGCCCTGAGGGTTACCCGGGCATGCTGCTCTGGCATGTCTCACCCCCCCTCCACCCTCTCCCACCTAGTCAACCTCACCTATCACCGCAGCACCCCTCTAACCCCTCGACAACTATCAAAACCGTTCCTCTCTTTATATCAGCTGCCATGAGCTCTTGTACGTTTTATCTACTGTTCCTCATCCTCTTAGCGATTAAAGAAGGCTCTGGGTATCGAATCAAGAGCTGACACGCTGCAGTGAAGCAATTCATCCGGGCCGTTCGAAGCGCGAAGACGTTGAACGATGAGCGCGGAGTTATACAGAAAGAGAGCGCTGCAATTCGGGCTTCATTTAGGGAAGAATCAGGTGATTCGAACGTTAGGTTCGTACTAACTTAGCTCCTTCAATCCCAACTTGGAGCTGTATCTGACACCTCCGGTTCTGTTATAGGAGGAATAATGTTGCCAAGCTGCTTTATCTCTTCACTCTCGGCGAGCGTACACACTTTGGACAGATCGAGTGTTTGAAGTTACTAGCTTCTCCTAGATTTGCCGATAAAAGATTAGGGTACCTGGGTACCATGCTTCTTCTAGACGAGAACCAGGAAGTATTGACTTTGGTTACCAACTCTTTGAAAAAGTAAGCCTATCTCAATTCACATTGCTCGGCTTATTTCAGAGCTGATGTTTTATAGTGACCTGGAGCACTCAAATCAGTACGTCGTGGGGCTAGCTTTATGTACCCTAGGAAACATTGCATCAACAGAAATGGCCCGTGATCTTTTCCAGGAAGTAGAAAATCTACTCTCAACCGCGAATCCTTATATCCGTCGA